CGAGCAAGTTAGAAAGAGAGATGGAATGTAGAGATAGATTAGTGATAGAAAAGCTTAACATTTTCCTTGTCTTCGATGCTTACTTATATCCTCTGCTAATCATTTCATTATCCCTTCCAACCTGTCACCTTAGCCGAAAGTCCATGCTCTAGTTTACCTTGTATTAGACAAGTTGATGAATTTCTTCAAGTCTTCGAATGGAGAAACTTGGAGAAAAAGGTTTGATCGAGGACTTGAACAGCTTGATCTTGAACGAGTCTTGAAATGATCTCTTTGAAAAGAGAGACCAAATTTATGTTTGTAACTTGAAAGGATTGGCACAAGTTTGAAGTGCTTGATAATCTTTTCTTTTAAGTTTGAGGAACTTTAGAGAGAATTTTAAAAAAAGAATTTTGCAAAGTCTCGAGATTACTTAGGAGCTTGTAAGACCATTAGCCAAAAAAATGTGTCCTCTTCCCTATAATGAGAGCCTCTATTTATAGGCTTAGGAGGGAAGGGTTAATTTTGGAAACTCCAAAATTGACTCTAATTTCCAAGAAAAATAGCAATTTATTTATTACTTTATGGAAATGATTTGAATTAAATTTTGAATTGAATTTTGAATTTAAATTTGAAGTATTCCACTAATTTTTTTGACAAAATATTTTCATGGGCTCACACATTTGGGTTGGCCCAATTGTCAAAATAGGTTCACTTTTCTTTTGGTGTGACCCATAATTTAAAATGGGTTAAGATCTATAATTTTAGTAGGACCCACATCCATTTGAAAATTTTGACCAACTTACTTTTGATTAATCAAGAAAATTTATTTGTCTTGATTAATTAGACGGTAATCAAGACACATAAAAATTTAAGTGTCTACAAATTTCCCCCACTTCACGGCTCCAATTGGATGCTTGCTCGCTAGCACGAAGGGTGAGACTCGAAGTACTTTGTTGATTTGGTGTTTGGTGGCCGAAAATGGTTACTTCTTCCACTCTTTAGCCGTGTTTGGCTTGGAGCTTACATGGCATCAATTGGAAACCAATCACACATGCCTTATTTTAATGAGATTTGATGAAGCATTTTGGAAACCTATTGGCAGTAGGATCATAGTTCTAAATATCGGCCGGTACGATACGTACCGGCCGATTCGTACCGGAAAATGGAAGCACCGATTCGGATATAGACCGATACAGCAATGAGAATGAAATTCGCAGTCTTAACGTCCGAGTCCCGGTATGTGGCAGCCTGAATCTGATAAATACGGCGATACAGTTCGATACACGTTGGTTGTCGCCGATATGGATGAAAATCGCGCAGAAAACCTGCAAGATCTAAGCTTCTTTGGGCTGTGGAGTTCACTTCGATCTTCAAGCTTCTCCAGAGAAGATTTATCCCTGAGTTGCAAGTTATAATTTGTGCTTATGCTTATGCTCTGTTTTTGATCAACCTGAAGCTACTATGCTCTGTTTAGTTGTTGTGCTAATGTTTACGTTTTTTTTTTTTCCTTTTATTTATTTGTTTATACACCTACACTACACCACTATTTATATTAATATATATATATATATATTTCTATTTGGATTAGTGGAAAGGTTTTTTTATTTTTCATATTTTTTTACTTTTGTGCTATGTTTTTGTACTATTTTTTTTTTTTTAAATATTTTTTTATTTGTGTCTTGGTTTGGTGTAAATGCTTAAAATTTAGATTTTTTTTATTTTTTATTTTTTAAAGAGGTTTATTCTAATCAGTTTTTTATTTTTATTTTAAATGTATTATTGTTACTAACTAAATTAGAATTATAATTGATGATACAGCGTGTTCTAGATGGAATGAGTCGGATTGATCCACGCTTCCCAAACTGGTACCCGAGGTACCAAGCCCACCGAGAGACCTGCACAAAAGTTCAACGGGGAGCAGGGAGTCCCCCAACGAACCCTCCGACAAGCAAGTTAGAAAGAGAGATGGAATGTAGAGATAGATTAGTGATAGAAAAGCTTAACATTTTCCTTGTCTTCGATGCTTACTTATATCCTCTGCTAATCATTTCATTATCCCTTCCAACCTGTCACCTTAGCCGAAAGTCCATGCTCTAGTTTACCTTGTTCATGGTGAGGTCGTTCTATCTCGACGGAGAAGAGTTATCGCAATAAATGCTACAGGAAAGCTCATCAATGGCTGATGTGTGGTGTAACAACTTTGCAGGATCTTTGTCTGCTGATGTGGGTGATTCTCTACTTGCCAAGTGTTTAGATGTCATTGGTGTTTGGTACAACGCTGGGTTTCACAAGTGTTGGGCTTTAGTTTTTGAATCATGGATTGGACCTTAGGTTGTCGGCTATATCCTTTATGGGCTTACCCATGTCAATAGTCCCCCATTCTCAAGTGCAGCTTTAGTCCAACGAAGGGAATAATAAAGAAAACGAGGGTTGTAAGATACCGGCGAGGCAAAGACCGACCGAGAGGTGGGCCGACGGCGAGAGGTGACCTAGTGGAGGGGCCGACCGTGAGGAGGGCCGACCGCGAAAGGTGACCGAGTGGAGGGATCGACCGTGAGGAGGACCGACGGCGAAGGGTGACCGAGTGGAGGGAGAAGTGGCAGTACGCGGGGCTCAAGGCGTGGCAGGGCACATGGTGATTTGAAGTGGAAAAGACAGGGTAGGGGAAGGGGGCAGTGCATCGTGGTCCTATACGTGGCGGAATCCCGTAATGGGGGAGGTTAGGCGTTGGGCAAGAAACGAAGGGGTAAGTTAACATAGGGCATTGAAAAGACAGTTTTGGCAGATTTTTGAAAATTTTCAAACTGGCAAAATTTAATCGTGACCCTTGGAATACAGGCAAGCCTTGGGCTTTTGGTGTTATCCTCTTTACTTATCTTTTTTCAAAAAACCAAAACGTTCCAAAAGTAAACTCTTTTGTGTCAAGTGAAACACCTTTGCAATATTTTGCGAACTACTTTGTACCAGCGTTTGAAGCCATACGCAGGCATACTAGAAAGATGGCTCGAGAGGATGTGCCCACCATGAGACTAGATGCGTTGGGGGACGACGACGCGGTGGACCTGGCGAGCAATACAGAACGAAGAAGCGAGCAGGCAGTGGGGGGAGCCGGAAGGGCAACCCCGCTTGTCCACGCTGATAGCGGCTGCAAAGCCGATCAGTCAGGTAGAGCCAGATCACTGGCACACGAAGGCCGACAAATCGACCTTTACTATGAAGGAGTTGGAGGACATGTGCGAGAAGTGTCAGATTCCCGCGGAAATAGAGTTAAAACTGCCGACATCAAAGGAGAGGCCATCCGATGCTCGACCGGGGGAGTTTGCCCTCTACGAAGAAGCGTTAAAGTGGGGGTTGACGTTGCCACTCCCCCGGATAGTAGTGGACATGCTGGGTCGGTTGGAGGTGGCTCCGGGTCAATTGATGCCCAACACGTGGAAGATTTTATTGGCTTGAGCAAGTGCGTGGCTGCGGGCGAACGACGGAGCTACAATGAAGGTGGATGAGTTTTTTGCATGCTACAAGGCGTCGGGCCAGCAAGAGACTTGGGTCACTCTACAGGCGGCACCCGGGAAAGGTTTGGTGGCGGGATTACCATCATCGGTGAAGGGGTGGAGGCCACAGTGGTTTTACGTGTCAGCCAATGGGGGAATAAAAGTGCGCACAGTATGGAGGGTGCCAACCAAGTCAGTGGAGCCAAGGTTGGAGGCGGAGGCAGAGGAGAGGGTGAAGAAGGTGAAGGCATGGAGGGAGAAGGAGGGCGCCAAGCGGGACGACCTCGTTCAACCCTCAGCCTTATTTGCCTCGGGGCTGGGACTGCAGTCAACCGGTGAGGACCTTGCACTAGCAGAATTGGAGATGAAAAGGAGGGCACAGAAGGCGAAGGATAGGACGATTTTTGCTAAGGCTGATAAATACAAAGATGCACAATTAGGCCGTCTGCCAAAACCAATCGCGAGGGAAAGAATCCGACCGCGCCCCAAGCCACTAGGGGAAAAGGACTTGGGCAGTTTTGAGCCACGACCGCCCCCAGTGGATCCATTGAAGGAAAGAAGCAACAAGGAAGTGGAGGCTGTATTGAAGAGGGAGAAGAAGAAGAAGAAGGTGAACAAGGGTGAGGAGGGGCCAGCGTTGAAAAAAATGAAGGAGGGGATGGCAGAGGGGACCCCCAAAGTGGAGTTGGAGGGAACAGCGAAAGGGATAGAGAGTACCCTGGGCCCCGAAACACAAGTGGAAGGTGGGGCGGCTGGCCCTGAGCAGGGGGCAGAGCAACAGCCCAAGGGGGGTCTTGTATCCCAAAGAGAAGGAGAGAGGGCCAGGTTGAAGACTACCATTTACCACGCTCCAGCAATGTCCGGGCGACTGGAGGGAGAAGAAGGTGAAGCCAGGACTACTACAGATCGGTTGTTAGGGGGTAATAGAGGACACGACTGTGGGCTCGATGGCAAGTTTCACAGAGGCCAAACTGCTAAGGGGGCTGTAGACGCGCTCCCGGGAACCCTCCGATATCCGCACTCGCGGGGGGCGTAGATCTCATTTTGTTCTGAGCTACTACAGTTCGGACTCATGTCACGGTTCTGAATCTAATCTTACAATGTGCAATGTAAGACTGATAAATCACCAAAGAGTCCAAATCTGGCAAATCATTTTGAAAAATTGATTTTAATAAAGAAGTGCCAAACATAGACTGCTTTGCCAGATACAGAATCGCCACCTAAATATTTTATTTTGGGGGAATTTAGGAAACCCTGACTCGTGCCTAAGGCCACGTGTCCGTCATCACCAAAGTTGCCTCAGTTCGGGAACTTGGGTACGACAAGGGAAGGTCATGAAATGAGCACCTCCTCTCGCCCGATCAAAGATCGGCATGTACTAAGCATGATATTTTGTTTTTGAAAACACATGTGCTCTTATTCCAGTTAATTAGCTAATCTTACTACGTGATGCGCACAGCATACAAGTATAAACTAGATCGCCTAATTTGGAACAAAACATTGCATGTTCGTTTGTAAAAATGATTTGAAGTTTGCTACTCGCAAGTAGGCTAAATCATGTTTCGATGAATTGTTCCAATTCAAGTAATCCAACTTTCACCCACAGGCATTCAGGCAGTTATATCAACTAAGCAATTAGCCTCACGGCAAGCATGCTTTTATGGCAGTCAATAACACACATGCCGTATGCTAAAGCATAAACACTCACAGTGTACTCCGAGCCAAAACAAAGAACTAGTTAGAAATCGTGCATGATCTTAGTTCATGCTAAGATGGCTAATGCAACACATGCAAAATGCAGTTAACATAGGCTCGACTACCTAGAATGTCATGTGAAATGCAACTTGATAACATGCTATTGAACACGTATTCAAGTAAGTGTATTGAAAATACAATGCTGGTTTGTATGATGTGCCGAGCTCGGTGCATGCAAAACAGATGAATGGACGCACGCATGCAAGCATAAGGTATGCTAATTGAAACATGCCCTAAAACTAACCATCGTAAGTGGTTAAGTAAAAGGGAGAAAGAAATGGGGGTTAGAAGACATGCATCACACACACACACACTTATTACAACAATGTGCCCTCTCGAGGGAGGGACCGAATAAAGAGCTAACTAGCTAATCTAAGCTAATTAAACTAATTATTACATCACAACGAAGCTAATTAACTAATCCTAGTTAACTAACTATTACAAAACAGATAAGCAACTAACCGCATTAACTACTTAATTACAAAACCAAAGCATGAACTAGCTAAGTACATTAGCTAAGCAAAGCAGCTAAGGAAAGTAATAAAGCAATGTCCTCTGAGGGAGAAGAGTTCATGCATGCCTGGTTGCTCCGTTCGGAAATCCAACGCGATGCCTCGATTTGCCTCTGTTTGCAACTGCTCTCAGAAACTTGCACCAAGCTCCAGATAGCTTCTGACACATCTTAGGGACCTGTGGGAGGGCTGCCGACCAGTTGTTGAGGAAGAAGACCATCTGCCGACCACTTTCTGTGCTGAAAAACCAAAAAAGTGGTCGACCAGCTGGTAATATTGGTCGGCCGACCAGTTGTTGCTGCTGAATTCCAATTTGCTGCAACAGAGAGCAAGAAAGGGCATGGCAATGTATTTGCAAGATATGTGTGCACAACCACCCTCCCTATCATGTCATGAACTTAAGGGAGTGCGATTCTCGACCCTCGGGCCACCAATCGCGCATTTCAATGCATGATGGCCGAGAGGCGAAGTTGCACAATTCAATATAAAATGAATGCACAAGTAAACACATAAGGCCTAAAACTCTATCATGTATGATTAAGAGCGTCGGCGACCAAGAATTGAGGCACGTTTCATCACTTTAAGTATGAAACGTCTCTCGTTTCTCGTGTTTAGACTAACACCTATTCCAAACAACAATGCAACATATAACATGGCATACACAATGCGACGCGAGCATGCCAACATGCAATACAATGAAACAAGCATATGAACAACATGCAAGGGACAAGCATGCAAACACGCAATGCAACATGAACAACGTAACAAGGCTAATGGCATGCACAATGCATTATGCTAAGGCATGCATATTCAATGGAATACAACATAAGCATGCAACAATATGAACAATAACTAGCATGCACAATGCAAATGAACATAGCATACACAAATGCAATGAACAATATGGCATACTCAATGCAATGACTATCATGGCATAGTCAACGCAATATGATCATGGCATATACGATGCGAATCAAGAACATGGCACGCATAATGCAAACAATAACATAACATGCACGATGCGATGTAACATGGCATACACAATGCTCAATGGACTTAAACCAAAATGGACAGACCTCAGCCATGCCCAAATCAGTGGCCATAACACCAAAATAAAGGCACAAAACACAAAGCATGCATGCACAATGCATTGGCCAACCAAGTAGGCCTAAGAGCACAACCCTCAAGAAGGCTCAAGGAGTGATAAATGCGGAAGTGTAACAACACTAAATGCACTGAACTTAAGTAAGAAATGATGCCAAATCATTCAATCAAACACAAGTATAGCATGCAAAGGTCCTAAAGCATGAAAGCTAATAAAGAGGACTACAAAGGAGGCATGCAATACATGGCACAAATGCGTGAACCAATCATGGACAGAGCTGAAATAGGTCAAAACAATGACCAAAACATGGTAAGATGGAGGCTCAAATACCTAAGTAAGATGGCATACATGCTAGGTTATAAGTAAGACAACAATGCACAACACTCGAAGGCATTCAAAACATGAAAGAAGTAGGAATATAAGCATGCTATAAGCTCTAAAATGTCATGAAAAATGATACCAAATCAAGTACATGATACAAATGAAGCATGTTATGGTGCTCGAAGCTTGAAGCTAGCAAGAGCACTTGTACTACAACTATGCAAAACATGAAGCATGTGATCAAGGTAACCCAAAACAGTCCTAGAACATGTTAAAATGAGTCTAAAACATGCATGAAAGGAAGCCAAAATGTGCTAGCATGAAGGGCATAAGGTATGGTGAATATAAGACAAATAAGTTGGATTACACTACACCTATTAGGACCAAGCATGGAATGACTTAATCAACAAAAATCAGAGTTATATCATGGCAAAATAACCCCAAAAACACATTGAAATGATGGCTCTCAAGCTAAGGCATGAAGGCATTCGCAATGGTTTATGTTAAGGCATAAAAGGACAAACCCTCCAACGCATTGAATTAGTGATAAATGCAAGTGCATGAGAATGAAACATGGACTGAAATCACATAATAAATGATGCCAAATCATTCAAATAGTCCAAGTAAAGCATGCTAGTGGACTTGACACACAAAGCTAACAAGCTAGAATGCACCATGGCTATACAAAGCAAGTCATGCATGCTCAAAACAACACAAATCAGAGCTAAAGCATGTTAAAACATGGACAAAAGCTTCTTAAGGTTAAGCCAAAAGCATGCTAAAATGACATGTCAAAGCATGAGGCATGTTAGTCTAATTCAAGGAAATGCACTACAAGTGCATGGAGCATGCAAAGGCTGACCAAACCAAACCCTAACAGAGGTATGACATGGCAGAACATCACCAAAAACAAGCTGAAATGGACTCAACATAAGTTAGAAAGACATGCTACTTCATGAAGCATACAAGACTAGTTTATGTGATTTACACTACAAGTGTATAAGGCATGCAAGAGCCAATGAAACCAACCCAAAACAGATCTAAGGTATGTTAGAATAACACCAAAAACCTACTGAGATGGCCCCAAAACCAGCTAAAAAGACAAGCTCAAACATGAGGCACACAAAGCTAGTTTGCAAGATTTACACTACAAGTGTATGAGGTATGCATGGAATGACCAAACCAAGTCAAAACAAATCTGAGGCATGCTGAAATAGCCCCAAATACATGCTAAGAACAAGCTAACACAAGCTTAGTAAACATGCTCAAACATGAGGCATTCAAGACAAGTATTAAAGACACAAGGAGAGAGGATGACC